TGTTGCGTTCTCAGATTTATTGGCTTTTTACACTATAACTTACCGGTAAGATATGGTGTTTTTGGGAAATTAGGCTATTTACTTAATAAATTACTTGTAAGATGTTGCGTTCTCTGATATATAGGCTTTTTACACTATAACTTACCGGCAAGATATGGTGTTTTTGGAAAATTAGGCTATTTACTTAATAAATTATGGGTAAGATGTTGCGTTCTCAGATTTATAGGCTTTTTACACTATAACTTACCGGTAAGATATGGTGTTTTTGGGAAATTAGGCTATTTACTTAATAAATTACGGGTAAGATGTTGCGTTCTTAGATATACAGTCTTTTTACCCTATAACTTACCGGCAAGATATGGTGTTTTTGGAAAATTAGGCTATTTACTTAATAAATTAAGGGTAAGATGTTGCGTTCTCAGATTTATTGGCTTTTTACACTATAACTTACCGGTAAGATATGGTGTTTTTGGGAAATTAGGCTATTTACTTAATAAATTACTTGTAAGATGTTGCGTTCTCTGATATATAGGCTTTTTACACTATACCTTACCGGCAAAGACATGGTGTTTTTGGAAAATTAGCTATTTACTTAATAAATTAAGGGTAAGAGTTGCGTTCTCAGATTTATTGGCTTTTTACACTATAACTTACCGGTAAGATATGGTGTTTTTGAAAATTAGGCTATTACTTAATAAATTACTTGTAAGATGTTGCGTTCTCTGATATATAGGCTTTTTACACTATAACTTCCGGTAAAGATATGGTGTTTTTTGAAAATTAGGCTATTACTTAATAATTATGTGTAAGATGTTGCGTTCTAAGATATATGGCTTTTTACACTATAACTTACCGGTAAGATATGATGTTTTTGGAAATTAGGCTATTTACTTAATAAATTACTGGTAAGATGTTGCGTTCTCTGATATATAGTCTTTTTACACTATAACTTACCGGCAAGATATGGTGTTTTGAAAATTAGGCTATTTTACTTAATAAATTAAGGTGTAAAAGATGTTGCGTTCCTCTGATTTATTGGCTTTTTTACACTATAACTTACCGGTAAATATGGTGTTTTTGAAAATTAGGCTATTTACTTAATAAATTTACTTGTAGATGTGCTTTTTTTTTTTTTTTTTTTTTTTTTTTTTTTTTTTTTTTTTTTTTTTTTTTTTTTTTTTTTTTTTTTTTTTTTTTTTTTTTTTTTTTTTTTTTTTTTTTTTTTTTTTTTTTTTTTTTTTTTTTTTTTTTTTTTTTTTTTTTTTTTTTTTTTTTTTTTTTTTTTTTTTTTTTTTTTTTTTTTTTTTTTTTTTTTTTTTTTTTTTTTTTTTTTTTTTTTTTTTTTTTTTTTTTTTTTTTTTTTTTTTTTTTTTTTTTTTTTTTTTTTTTTTTTTTTTTTTTTTTTTTTTTTTTTTTTTTTTTTTTTTTTTTTTTTTTTTTTTTTTTTTTTTTTTTTTTTTTTTTTTTTTTTTTTTTTTTTTTTTTTTTTTTTTTTTTTTTTTTTTTTTTTCCCCCGGGGAACAGGGCGCTAGGGCGTAACAAGAGAAGCGCTAGCGCGGGCGGAACTGGCAGGCAAGGAAGGAGAGGGAAAACGCGGGGAGCAGCGTAAACAGGGAGCGGGCCAGCCCCCCCCACGCCACCACACACACGAACCCACCCACGATAGCCAGTGCGGCCACAAGAAGCCACCCACAAACTCCCGGAGCGCCCCACCGAGAGCCAGATGCACCGAAAACTGTGGGGAAAAACGGGGATGGCATGAAGAAAGAGGGGGAAAGAGAGAAAATGAAGGAGGGGCGGGGGGGGGGGCGGGAGAAAGAGGGGAAATAGAAGAGAGGGGGAGAGAGATGGGAGGGGGTTTGCGAAGGTAGAAGGGAAAGAGGGGCTGGGGGTGGGGATAGGAGTATGGGTGGGGGGTGAAAATTAGGTTTAAAGAAGGCGTTATGATGGGGGTGACGTGCCATCACACCAAGGCATAGTAACTGGCCGGTACCAAGGGTAAAAATAGGAAAGAGAAAACAAAAATCTTAAAAAATAATAAAAACAAAGGAGAGTGTAAGTTATAAAAGGAGGGTGAAAAAAGCAGCCTAAAAGAAAACGCAATTACTATGCTTGGGATCCCATCTTTACTTACAAAGTCATTACAATGAGAAGGATTCTTAAATCTCTGAGTGAATGGTCAGCTGCCTTTGATTGATCTTTTATCACCTAGATATATTTTGAAAGTATCACATTGAATTGTTAATCCACTGAAAACCTCCTCCACGCACGCCCCCTTTTCTCAATATACTCAAGTGACCAGAAACTGTATCCCCAAATTCCAACAATCCAGGTTGGATTTGCTATTTGCATTTGATCACCACCTTCTTATTTTCCTGTTATCGGTCACTTTGTGTTTGAGGAGTAGAAAGAAGGAAATGGGGCGTCTCTTGTATGATGCCAGGTGCTTCGGGTTTGGGTCGGGTGGTCGGGGAGAAGGTGGGGAGGAGATTGCAATGCCCTTTTTCAATCTGAATTTTGAATTTTTGAATTTTTAAATTGAATTAAAGTATAGATAAATTATTAATTTTTTTGAAGTTGCTCTGAATGTGCAAATGTGTCTTGTCTTAAACGATTTAGATCATAAAAAAAAAATAGGATGGTTAATGTTGGCGAAATGCGGGTAAATGCACAACATTATAACTATGCCGTCAGTGAGTGCTGTATCTCAGGGCCCTCATAATTTAAGATAAAAAACTCTAGCGTAAAACATTTTTAAGTTCAAACTGCAGGAAATGTGCACTGATCCTTCTAATCTTGCCATGTTAGCAAATCACTTCCAAGGGTAAGGCATTAGAGACCTATACTTATTTATAATTCACTCATTTTAGAAGCAACTCATTTCTCATTTAACGTTCTTTCAAGTATAACTTTCTATAAATTCACACAACCAAGTAGCGTAATGTCAACTGTAACGAAGCAACAAAGAAAGCAGTAGAGAAAAAAGAACATAGAGAGAGTCAGAAAACTCTCCCTGTTTGTCATTGGTCTTCCTATTCACTGCCAAGCATCAAACCACATAATTAATGGGGTGGTATATACGTGCATGTTTTCTTCAAGAAACTTTTTTTTTAGAAAAGTGATTATAGATTCCAATTTAAACATTGAAGAAGTTGGTTTTAAACTCGGATTTGGTGACTTTGATACAAGTCCTTTGACTGTTATGCCACATAGGATTACATTCCTTTTTTAATATTTTCTGATATATTTTTTTTTTTTAATTTTTTTACTTTCACCCTCATTTTTGTTCCAATATGTGCCCCTTATTCCCCTTGAATTGGTAAATAAATAATTCACGTCATATCTGAATCCATTTACCACAGTTGTCATCGAGATAGAAAAGGAAATTATCTTAAACATATCCCAGATTTCACGTTGCTACAAACAGTTATTCTCCTTTGAACCCAATCTCTATTGATTCCTTGCTTCTTCAATGCAGAATTGTGTGGGGTTTCAGATTAGGTTTGAATATTACAGATACTCAGAGGTTCGATGGTCACAATTTAGGACATCTGAGACATCCCAGCTTTCATGGTTATTTCCTAAATCATGCTCATTCCGTCCAAATCGCTCCAGATTTCCGTCCAGTCACTGCAGATTTCTTGCTGCAATAATGTAGAGTTTTTTGGGTATGAAATGATAGGAACCTGATGTTCAAAAAGCAAGAAAATCAATTGTTGACAAAATAGGGATTGGGTCTTCTGACATTGGGTTGCTGGAGTGCAGTTTCCCTCACGTACAGGTATTTTTAATTTATGTATTTGAATTTCAATAATCTGCTTTGTGTTTTGTTGTTTTTGCGTTTGGTTTGGTATGAAGTCGTCATTTTACCTATTGTCAACAAATAGGAATTGGGTCTCTAACATTGGGCACACAATTGTCAAATGTCAATCAGAGATTGGGTATCAAACGTGGTGAATTGAGAAATTGAGGAGATATTTTCTTTGTTTCTAACTTTCTGGGTTTCTGGGTTTCATACTATCTGGGAATACCTAAACTAATACTAATGTAGAGATAATGCATTTCATACTATCAGATGTATAGATTTCTGTCATGGGATATATAGGTTCTACAAAGATATATTGGTTGTACCAAAATCAATATTCCATGATTCAATTGAAACAATATGCTTTTGGGGTGTTGTTGTTTTACCTATCTGTCATTTTACCTATCGTCATTTTACCTATAGTCGACAATATTATGACAAAGTCTGATGGCAAGTTGAGAAATTGAATAGACAGATTTTTTACACGCAGATTGTGATATGAATTTTTCTTTGTTCTTTGTAGCATCCTCATGGCTAAGAAAAGAGTTTGCAAACCTGGAGTACAGGTCAGACGTGTTGAAAGTTTCATCGTGTAATGGAGCGAATAAGAGAAAATGTGAAGGAGTCCCTGTTGAGCTCTTTCGGCAAACACCGTTTTGGGGGTTGTTCAATTCATACCATGGTGGTCTAATTATTGAAGAAGCTCATAGAAAATCTGATATTGATATTGTGTCCATCTTAAAATGTTTTGACAAAGGCGAAAATGCATTTTTTTTTTTTGAATTTTTGAATTTTTTTAGCCTTTACGCGACCAATATTTTTCGTCGCGCAAAACTTTGGGTGACCAATACTTTTTGTTGCGAAAAACTTTTCGCTACCAGTACTTTTTCGTCGTGCAAAACTTTGCACGACCAATGTTGTTTCGTCGTGCAAAACTTTGTGCAACCAATATTTTCTTCGCTCAAGGTAGATTTGCGCGACGTTAAGATTCATCGCACAAAGTTACTTTGCGCAACGAAGAATATTTTTCATCGCGCAAACCCTTTCTTCACAAGTTTTGAGCGACGGATCATGCCCACGAAAATTTCGTCGCGCTGGGTTTGCGCGACGAAATTGTACTTTGCACAACAAACTTATTTCGTCGCGCAAAGTGTTTTTTGTAGTAGTGTGTTTAACCTTCCATGCTTGTATCTCCATGGCGTCTCATGTTATCTACGCAAGCCCATCTCTTTCTGGGAACCAGACAATTACCTCTCCAAGTGGCATTTTTGAGCTGGGTTTCTTCACACCAGGTAAACTGTCAAAACTATTATATTGGGATATGGTACAAAAAAAACTACCCCCGAAAACAGTAGTTTGGGTGGCAAACAGAAACTAACCTGTTTCTGATACATCATCTTCAACATTGCAACTCTTCCAAAATGGAAACTTAACCCTACTGTTCCAATCCAAAACTGAAATTTGGTTAACTCATTCTATGTCAACGGTTTCTCATTCCACCGTAGCAATGCTACTTGACATTGGGAACTTTGTCATAACATATGCATTTAATTCATCTGTTGTTATATGGCAGAGTTTGATCACCCAATTGATACTTGGCTTCCAGGAGGGAAGCTTGGACATAATAGGCTTATGAAAGAAAAACTAAGTCTTACTCCATGGAGAAACCCACAAAATCCAGCACCTGGCCTCTTTCCTATCTGGGCAACATCTTGTATGTGATGGAGATTTTTATTTCCCCCTTCATTTCTCCATTCCTTTCCCCATCCAATCTAGATCTTATGAAAGGGAGTGGTGACATGAGCTTGTATCTTGATGTGCTTTCATCTATTTCAAATGGGATATATAAATATATCATTGTTCTTTGTAGTTTGTATCTTCAAGGCCAAGGATTAGGAACTGGGTATAGATTACAAGCAGCAGCAGCAGCAACCCAGCCCAAACAGTGATTTCTTCTCCAGATTCTCCCAAAATTCGAACCCCACCTCAGATTTTGATAAGCCCTAGCCTTCTTCTCCAAATTTCCCCCTTCTCACCCAAACACCCCCTTTCCCCCTTTTCTAAAGTTGAAAAAACCCTTATTCTCCAATGTTAAGGATTAAAACAAAGTGGGGCCCAAAGCACCTAACGGAACGTCTATAATACTGATGGAATGGGTAACGTGAGACCGATTTTAAAAGTGTGGGGGGGTATTTTGAGACATTTCAAAGCCCAGGTGGTAACATGAGACAAGTTTGAAAGCACATGGGGCACGTACATTAATAAGCCTTATTATTTTGGCAATGGTTCTGTGATCGACTTGGATACCTATATCCGTCTATGAACATTCTCATAGCGGATCTTGAGTTTGTGTACAAGGAGTCGTATCTTGGAGTCTTGTAGTTGTAGACTGTCAGTACCTGTACGTAGAGAGGCTACAAGGGCTTTAGGACAACGTCTTTAACATGCTTCACTGTACCAAACTCACATTCTTACTTACTATTTATTTTGCATTTACTTACCTATTATTTTGTTTTCTTCAATTTTATTGTACCTTAAAAGCTTTCCAATTTGTTTATAAATTATTTATAATATAAAAGTTTTTGCATTTGGCTTTACAAAAAAGGAAAACTATATTTTTATAACAGAAGGAACCATCTGGTGGCACGCACACAATGACACTGGCTGGAGCCACAGTTCATGGCGCAATATTTGTGTATCCAAAACGTGGAGCTGGCTATCCTTTTCCCAAGCCTCGTGAAGAAGTGCAAATAATATTAGGTAACATGCATGAATTTATATTAATATAATCATGTTTTAAACTCAACATGTGTAATTAATCTTGGATTCTCTCACTACGAAAAAAGAAAGAGTTATGGGCGATTACATTTGCCCCTATTACTTCAAATAGGGGTGGAAAACTAGACAAATCTGCCGCTAATCATATGAGGGGCAGATAATGGAAAGGCCCCTATTAGTAGTGCCACTAAAAACTAATAGGGGCGGAAAGGTTATTAAAAACGCCCCTATTGTTCCAGTTGCCACGTTGGCAATGAACCATAGAATACATATTAGGAGCGAATATTTATGTGCCTCTAATAAATTTTTTAACAGTAAGGGCGCTTATTTGCACCACTACCTCTAATTTCATAATAAATAATAATTAGTTGTAGAGACATATACATGTGCCCCTAATACATTTCAAAGTCATTAATTCATCGGAGCATATTTATTTAAAATTAGTTTTTAATTTGTTATATTCAACATATAAATTATTCTTCAAATAAATAAAAATTAATTAATTGTATAATATAAAATGCACAGAACATCAAATATATATATTTATATAATTCCCAAACGTATATAGCCAGCCAAACAATATTAGGTAGCAATAATTCAAAATGATCCCAATAGTATGAAGAAAATAGCAAAATATCCTAACTCGATTCAGGACGATGAGCCCTCTGATCTGAAGACATAAAATCCTGCAAAAATTCTTCGTGAAGCATCCCTGAAAATTCTCCAGGAGGATAAGGCATTGGGTGATATAGTTGTGGATGGTATGGTTGGGGATAATACAAATGAGATGGCGGCTGATATAAATAAGGATGATGCTAATAAGTCGGATACTGATGTGAAGATGGAGTCTGCTGGGAAGGTGACTGATGCTGGGAGGGAGAACGATGTTGGTTGGATGAATGCTGCTGAGAGGATGAACATTGCCACTGGGAGGGTGATTGCTCTTGTGAGGAAGACTGTTGATGTGTAGGTGGCTGGAATGGTTGCTGATGTGAGGATAATATCATATGCCTCAACTTCTCCATCTCCTTCTGTTGTCTCTCATAATTTTCTTGCAGCTCTAAAAATTGAGACTCCAAACAAGCATAATCTCGTCCTCTATGTGATCGACAAGATGAAGAAGTTGGTTGAGTTTGTACCACCCAAGGCACCATATCTGGTGTCACAATATTTCCGTACACTACTACATTTTACACTTTGCGCGACGAAGAGATTTCATCGCGCAAAATACATTATAGTCGCACAAATTTCAGCGCGACAGAAACCTCGTCACGCAGAATCCGTCACGCAAAGATCGTGAAGAAAGACTTTGCGCGACGAAGTTTTTTCTTTGGTCACGCAAAGGTCGTGGAGAATCCATCGCGTAAAGATCATAGAGAAAGACATTGAGAAAATGGTGGATGAGTTATTTTCGTTTTAAAACCGTATCACTTTGCGCGACGAAAAATATTGGAATATTGGTCGCGCAAAGTTTTGCGCGACGAAACATATTGGTTGCCCAAAGTTTTGCGAGACAAATATTAGTATATTGGTCGCGCAAAGTCAAAAAATAAAAATAAAAAATTCCTGCGTCCCAATTTTTGGGGTACCCGCCCAAATTTTTGCGCGACGAAAATATATATTGGTCGCGCAAAGTCCAAAAAAAAATATAAATTTAAATCCCGCGTCCCATTTTTGTTACCCACCCAGATTTTTAGAGTTTTGCGCGACGAACTGTTGGTCGCGCAAACTTTTGAGAGACGAAAAATTGGTTCGTAGCACAATATTTATAAAAATAATTGTTATGAATAATAAAAATAAAATAATTTTATTTTACTATTTAAAATATAAATAAGGTTTAAGCTACTTAATAAATGTATATACTATTCAATTTCTTAAGTGTTATACGTATAAAATAAATAAATTGAAAGGTACTTAATAAGTAAATAATATATATATATATATACACACACCATTCAACGATCCAACCGTCAGACTTGTTTGTATATACTTCAAGATTGTATACCCCAAAAATCACAAAAAACAAACATTCAGAGATCTAGTAACGGGACAAAAATTTCAACGGTTACAAATGAAAAATCACGATTTAACCGTTATTTTAACTCCGATTTTGATGATTTTTTTACAGCTACACTCCTTGACCCTATATGAATACAATGAACTAATTCGATCATCAATTTAAAATATTTACAATAGTGGATACCACAAAATCTTATGTTATATTTAACAAAAATATAAATAAACTCTTAATTGTTAGTGAATATATTGTTTTGATGGCATACGCATTCAAAAAACTAGTTTCAACGATCCAACCGTAAACTTATTTGTTTATACTTCGATATCATATACGCCAAAAATCGGAAAAATAAACATTCAGAGATCAAGTAACGGGACAAAAATTTTGACTGTTCTAAATGAAAAATCACGATTTAAACGGTTATTTTAACTCCGATTTTGATGATTTTTTACAGCTACACTCCTTGACCCTATATGAATACAATGAACTAATTCGATCGTCAATTTAAAATATTTACACTAGTGGATACCACAAAATCTTATGTTATATTTAACAAAAGTATAAATAAACTCTTAATTGTTAGTGAATATATTGTTTTGATGGCATATGCATTCTACAAAACTAGTTTCAACGATCCAACCGTCAAACTTGTTTGTTTATACTTTGAGATCACATACACCAAAAATCGGAAAAAATAAACATTCAGAGATCAAGTAACGAGACAAAACTTTTCGACGGTTATAAATGAAAAATCATGATTTATCGGTTATTTTAACTCCGATTTTGATGATTTTTTACCGCTACACTCCTTTACCCTATATGAATACAATGACTGAATTTGATCTTCAATTTAAAATATTTTCACTAGTGGATACCATAAAATCTTATGTTATATTTAACAAAAGTATAAATAAACTCTTAATTGTTAGTGAATATATTGTTTTGATGGCATATGCATTCTACGAAACTAGTTTCAACGATCCAACCGTCAAACTTGTTTGTTTATACTTCGAGATCATATACGCCACAAATCCGAAAAAAATTAACATTTAGAGATCAAGTAATGGGACAAAACTTTTTGACGGTTATAAATGAAAAATCACGGTTTAACGGATATTTTAACTCCGATTTTGATGATTTTTTACAGCTACACTCCTTGACCCTATATGAATACAATGAACTAATTCGATCGTCAATTTAAAAAATATATTTTCTAACAAAAACCCAATCCGAACAACAATAATATATTTTTCTAACAAAAATCCGATCCGATCTAAAATAATAAATTTAAAGCTACTTAATAAAAATATATATATGCTGTTTAATTTCTTAAGTGTTATGCATACAAAATAAAAAACAAAAATAAATCGGTTTAGGCAACGAAATGTTTGGATTACGCCATGCAAAGATTTTAAAAAATAATTTTTTTATTTATTTATTTTTATAAGGACTTTGCGCGACGATGTATTGTTGTCGCGCAAAGTCGCTTTGTGAGACGAATTGTTTTTTGTCGCGCAAAATTTGGTCAAGCAAGACTTTGCGCGACAATGTATTGTCGTCGTGCAAAAGTTTGTTGCGCAAAGTCACTTTGCGCGACGAATTGTTTTTCGTCACGCAAAATTTGGTCGCGCAAGGTTTTGAGCGGCGAAGTTTTGAGTTTCGTCGCGCAAAGTGACTTTGAGCGATGAAGAATTTTTCGTCGCGCTAGGGTTATTTTTTACTAGTGGTAACCATGAATTGTTCCACGACTCTCAACACCTCTTGCTGATAAATATGCTTGCAACCTTAACTCTGAAGTCTCCTCACCATGGGTGATAACTAGTTGTGTCAATTCCTGCGAGATCTTACTCTAACCAAAATATATTTTACAAAGGTTAGTAAGAAAAATAATTAAGTATTTTCTGATAACTTGGCATCCTTAGGTACAATGCATAAGCCATCCTTTGTTTTATTTAAAAAGTTCCACCACATTGCAAGCTAGTCTTGCAGGTAGACAAATTTTAACTTTACTTAATATCAAGAAAATAACAAAAACGCATGTTTGTACAAGAAAGACTCTTCTATAGAATCCAGAATACTCAACTATCATCACATCAACAACCCAATCTGACAGTCAGACCCTCAGCTCAACATATACATCATAAACAATTACCCTAGACATTTCGGGGGCACATTAACACATACACTCAATTAACCAAACTCACTAATACTAGATAAATAGGTCGAGGATAAAGTCCTACAAGATCAAGGCAACAATCTGAAACGGAGAGCGAGAGCCTAAACGTGGCACAATCAGACCACAGCTACCCAATAGCATAGGGCCACAAAACAAGGGATAAACTAGGAGATAAACTCAGTGATTGGACACAAATAAAGTTCGAAAATATTTAATAAGAACGTAGCAACCCCTAGTTTTCGCATACCTTCCATAATTCAAAACTTGAGAACTTTCCAAAAACCCAAGTAGTAATAATGTAGCTTAAACTCACTAATAATGGAAAACTTCTATATGACATGACAATTAAAAGCAATGCTACAAATATGTTAAATGGTCTTAACAACTGAAATAACTTCTTAGAAAACTTCAAGAATCCTTTATAAAACAAAAGAATCAAACCCATTTTGAAACTCGGTAAGTCTATAATAGCTCGAGATATTCTACAAGCATAAATAATTTTTATTTTTATTTTAAAAGAAACAATATTATTCAATAAAGAATAAAACATCAACAATACACAAAATGGCCAAGGAGGCCACCACACAAATAGAGAGGTAAAACTCTACACCACAAAACTACTGCTTTCCAATCTAGATGGATGAGCTGAAAACTAATCTCCCTAAACTCTGCTGAAACAGAAGCCAAAGTGAGGCCCAAACTCGGATACGATCCCAAAGCTGGTCTACCTCGTCCCCAACCACATCCTCAAAGATTCTCCTATTCCTTTCCCCCCAAATTACCCAACAGATTGCCATCATGGCACAATTTCCCAACACTGAACCCTTCCTCTTACCACCAAAGAAATTCAATCTAGCTTCAAGCACTGCATTACACGTTGCGAAGTTACCCCGCGTTCGCCCTGCCACCTTAAATAACTTAGCCCACAGGGATGAGGCAATAAGACAAAGCAAAAACAGATGATCCACAGTTTCATTGTCTTTTTTGCACAGAACACACCAGTTAGAGAAAAGCAAGGTCTTAAATATCGATAGTTTCGGAAATATAGGTGGTTCAAAAACACGGAAATATCGATGGAAATATCGGGAAAATATCGATATCGATAAAAATTGAATAAAAACTACGGAAATTGTCATAAATACATGGAAATTTTTAATGAAACTTTAGAAGAAGTTTATTTAGTCAATCATCTATTATTTTGACACAAAAAATTGGAAGGAAATGCATTGCATAGTGGGTTTGAGTGATTTAAGTTGATTATATTGCGAGTTGACAAACTCTGTGACTTAGAAAATCTAGAGTAATTAATGAAAGAGAATTAAACACCCCCTAGTAATTTATTTATCATTTTTTAGTACAATATTTTACACTTTATAAATTGCATTGTAAGATACATGAGTAACCTTATTTCACAAACGTCATTGGACATGGTAACATGTTCTTATATTTATTATTTATCAAAAATTGAAAAATAATTAAAGATGTAAACCAACTTGATTTTTCATGAAAATTAGGCACTTTACCATGCTTAAAAAATAATAGTGAAGATTGAAAATTAACTAGGAACATAAATAAATTTATCCAAGGAAGAATTAAATAGTAAATAAAGAAAATAATTATAGAAATTTAAGTAATTAAGCAACAATTTGAAGGGGAATTTAGTAATGTAAGTACTTATAATGAATAATAAAATAATCAATAACATTAAATGGATTAAATAGAAAAGAAATAAATTATGTTAAGTAATTAAGTAACTGAACAACAAAATAAAACAATAAGTAATTATGTTAATTTCTATTTTGAGAAACAGCTCACAAGCATTATAAATACAAATTCCATAGCTTATTATCACAAAGTAATGACTGCGCGTGGTGGTTGAGTGGCTGTAGATCTTCGAATTGGGAAGGGGTTCGAACCCCAGCATGCATGAAGTAAGTTTTCTTTAATTTTATCGATAATATCGCGATATATTGACCATTTCAGATTGAATTTGAACGAAAATATCGGTCTTGATATTTCAGCGATATTATCGATAGGAGGGGCTTTGGCCAAATTACAGAGGAAGGAAAGAAGAGAGATGGGTGGGGGGATTAACCATCAGGTGCCTAGAGAAGGATTTACAAGAGAATATTCCTGAAGACTCCAAATTCCATGATCTGGTGTCACATCTGCTTTGAACCAACACAACATGTTCCAATATTAAGAGCAGCGCAGACAATTCTTCAATTTTCCTCATCCCTTAGGTTCCTGCGAAACCCAAAATCCCAGCTCAGCGGAAGGGAATTCATGTCTATGCAGATATCTGCGATTTTGGCATTCTGTTTACGAGAGATTCGAAGAAGGCGTGGAACCCTTTCACTCAAAGCTGTATCTCCCGGCCACACATCTTCCCAAAATCTTACTCTCTCACCGTTGCCACCTTGAGACGACAACCAGCAACAAAAGATCCCAATCCTTTAATTATTTCTGTCCATGGGCATTGGCTGGACCCATTTGATTTTATTTTAGAATCCCAACCATTCAGCTGGAAACCCATTTTGGAATCTCCATAGCCACTTCCCAAGTAAGGCCTCATTACGTTTCCTTAGATTTCCTATCCCAAGTCCCCCATTTTCCTTGGGTAAGGACACTACCTCCCAATTCACCAAATGATCCTTCCTGCCTTCCTCAACACCCTCCCACAGAAAGTTCCTCATTATCTTCTCCAAGCGCTTTGCCACACTAGCAGGAATTCGAAATAAAGATAAATAGTAAGTTGGTAGGCTACTCAACACTGCTTGAATTAATGTCAGTCTTCCCCCTTGAGATAACAACGCCTTGCTCCATCCTTCTAACCTTCGTTCCACTCTCTCGATAACTGTGACCCAAAATGGTAAGCTCCTAGGGTTTCCCCCGAGAGGCAATCCAAGATAAATCAGAAGCCAGCTTCCCATGCCACACCCTACCTCATCGGACAGGCTCTACTTCATTGCTTTCTGCATTAATTCCAACAATTGATAGAGATTATGCGGAGACAAAGAGCAAAGGTGGTGTGGGCAAAAGAGGGGCACGCAAACACAAAATTCTTTCATAGAATTGTAAATTGCTAAAAGAAACGAAATCTAATTGAAAAATTGGAATTGGCAGATGGGTCCATTACTGGAGATAGCGACAAGCATAAATCATGAGTGCTAAACAAATTCAATAGGCATGTGGGATATGCCGGCCATGCACACATGCATAGTAATCTTAATGCATATGTAGGCAGGGTATGTTGGCCATACGTTAATCGATCAACATTGTTGATGGTGAACCTTTGGTCCCCCATCCAATTATTAAAATCTTGAAGTTTATAATAAGCTAGTTATTCATTTAGGATTGGTTAGGTTTGTTGTGAAATGAGGTGGTCATCCAAATCAATTCAATCAAATTGAGAGACAAAGCTTGGGAGTTGGACATAATGAATGCTACGAGAATCTTCTCTATATATGATTTTTTATGAAACCACCCACCCACCCATCCCTTGCAAAAGCAAGAACTGTTGAAATAGCAGACTATTATCTACTTTAGATTTGGATTTTAGAATAGGGAGCTCAGGAGTAGAGAAGAAATGAAGAACACAGAGAGATTTCAGATGAGCAGATGAAAAATGATAGAAAAAACGTGAGTCTGTAATCTCACTTTTTAATTCCACACTCAAACACGCACACTACATGCTTGATATAGAAACCGTTAGGAATAAGAATATTCCTCTCTTACATCAGCTCAATCTAACCATTCAAACCTCTACCCTATGAGATAAGAGACACATGGCAAATACAAACACTCATACCTCAGCTTAAGATCCTAGCCATCCATTGAACTATGATTCAATGGTTCACATTTAAACACTCAGCTAGCATACTTACAGAACCTAAACAGAACATTTCAGCTAATTACACTTATATTTCAACACTCCCTTCTAAGTGTTTAGCTGAAATAACACCAAGCTTCTTCCTCAAATACTCAAACCGATCTCTGGCTAGAGCTTTGGTAAAAATATCAGCAGTCTGTTCTTCTGTCTTGCAATACAGTAAATCAATTTCTCCATTTTGCAAGGCATCTCGGATAAAATGAAATCTCCTATTGATATGCCTTGTCTTGTGATGGTGCACAGGATTCTTTGCTATAGCAATAGCTGAGGTATTATCACAGAGAATTGATGTTGAGCTGATCTGTTCTTCACCAAAATCTGAGAGAACAAACCTCAACCACATTGCTTGTGCAGTTGCTTCAGCTGCACTCACATATTCAGCTTCTGCAGTGGAGAGAGCCACACTGCTTTGCTTAACTGATGCCCAAGAAAAGACACCAGAACCAAGGTGAAATGCATATCCAGAGGTGCTCTTCATATCCTCCTCACTCCCTGACCAATCACTATCACAATAGCCAATTAGCACTGCTTCCTCTCCTCTTTCATAGACTATGCCATAATCTAGTGTACCTTGAATGTACCTAAGAACTCTCTTAGCAGTTCCCATGTGTTTTCTGGTAGGACCATGCATAAATCTAGCTAATAGACTGGCTGCAAACATAATATCAGGCCTTGTTGCAGTCAGATACAACAAGCTTCCCACTACCTGCCTGTATAAACTCTCATCTGCCTGTTCACTGCCATCCTGCTTAGACAACTTCTCATTCACTGCAAGAGGAGTAGCACATGCCTTGCAATCCTTGAGACCAAACCTATCCAAAAGAGTCTTTGCATATTTCTTCTGATGCAAGAAAATATAGGCTTCAGTCTGTATCACTCCTAACCCCAGAAAATGATGTAACAGGCCAAGATCTGTCATCTCATATTGTTTCATCATTTCAGTCTTGAAATCCAATAGTAGCTCCTTAGAACTTCCAGTATAGATGATGTCATCCACATAAAGTGAAACTATAAGAATTCCACTCTTTGCAGACTTCACATACAGAGTTGCCTCACTAAGACTTCTCCTGAAACCAGACTTCTCAAAATAAGAGTTAATCTCTTCATACCAAGCTCTTGGGGCTTGTTTAAGACCATACAAAGCTTTCTTCAATCTGTAAACTCCATCCTCTCTGTTCTTAACCACAAAACCAGGTGGTTGATCAACATAAACTTCTTCATGTAACACTCCATTCAGAAAAGCCGATTTAACATCCAACTGAAACAGTTTCCACCCTTTCTGTGCAGCCAAAGCTACCAAAATCCGAATTGTGTCAAGCCTTGCCACTGGTGCAAACGTCTCATTGAAGTCTATCCCAGGCTTTTGAGAGTAGCCCTTTGCCACCAGCCTTGCTTTATTCTTTTGAACAGAACCATCCAAGTTTAACTTGGTTTTATACACCCATTTAACCCCAATGACTGGTTTATCCGATGGTCTATCAACCAAATCCCAAGTGTCATTCTTCTCTATCATATGAATCTCATTTTCCATTGCTTTCTGCCATGAATCATCCTTGACAGCTTCTTCAAATGACTCAGGTTCAATTATACACACATTACATCTTTCATAAACTTCAGCTATACTTTTAAATTTTCTAGGAGTGTGATCAAACTCCTGAGGACCTGTGACAGCTTCAGTGTGTTCTGCTTCATTTTCTTCAGCCATTTCTGTTTGAACTCCATATGCCTCATCAATCTCTTTTCCATTCTCAGCAACAACATCAGTGAGTGGAATTGAAATGCTGGATTCTTTTTGTGCATTCCAGTCCCAACTACTTTCCTCATTAAAAATAACATCTCTAGAAATGATCACTTTGCCCGATTCAAGATTGTATAACCTGTAACCTTTTTCACAGCTGCCATAACCAAGAAACACACACCTTGTGCTAGTTTGATCAAACTTCTGTCTCTGCTGCTCTGGAATCTGAGCATAACACAAGGAACCAAACACTCTTAGATGCTTGATCCCTGGTTTTCTTCCACTATAAGCTTCAAAGGGTGTTTTCTTCTCTAAAGCTTTAGTAGGACATCTATTCAATACATATACAGCAGTGTTAACTGCTTTAGCCCAAAATTCCAGAGGCATTTTCTTCTCAAACATCATACATTTTGCCATTTCAACAATTGATCTATTCTTCCTTTCAGCTACACCATTCTGCTGTGGAGAATGAGCAACTGTCAGCTGCCTTTCCATTCCCATGTCATCACAAAACTTGCTGAATTCTGTAGAAGTATACTCACCCCCTCTATCACTTCTTAATTTTTTCAGTTTATAGCCACTTTGCAATTCAACCATAGCTTTAAACTTTTTAAACACACTAAATACTTCAGACTTGTATCTCAGAAAATATATCCAACACATTCGAGTTCTATCATCTATGAATGTGAGAAAATACCTATTTCCTGACTTCGTAGCAGTTTGCATTGGTCCACACACATCTGTGTGTACCAACTCAAGTGGAAATGCAGCTCTGCTTGTAGCTTCTTTTGGAAAAGACTCCCTGCAATGCTTTCCAAAAGTGCACCCTTCACACACATGACTTGTGGTTTTAATCTCTGGCAGTCCTAGCACCATTCCTTCATTCTGCAGTAATTTCAAACTGTTGAAGTTTAGATGTCCCATTCTCCTATGCCAAGTCAGAGTTGATTGACATACACTTGCTTTTAATGCTACTTGTAACTCTGTGTGCAGATTTAAAGGAAAACTTCTATTCCCTTTCATCTGAACTCTAGCCACCAGGTTAGACAGTGAGCCATCATCATAGACATCTGCTTTGCTATCTCCAAAGATAAGAAAATATCCATGCTCCATCATCTGTCCAACACTAAGCAAATTCTCCTTAAGACCAGATACAAGCATTACTTCCTTGATATATCTTTTTCCCATCTTTGTATCAACTACCAAACTTCCTTTTCCCAAGACATCAACTAACTGTCCTGTTCCCATTGCAACTTTTGCAGTTATACTTCTATCAATATCAATCAGAACATCTTCCCTGCCAGTCATGTGGTTACTACAACCACTGTCCAAGTACCACACATCTTCCATAGGCCTTTTATCAGCTGCATTGTTGACAAAAAACATAGTTGGTGCAGTAGAAGCTTGAGTTGCATAGTTAACCTGCTGCACAGATTTCTTGCTATAACAATCCTTTGCAATGTGACCAAGCTTATCACAATTATAGCACTTTGGTTTGCCCTTGAAACGACATTCTCCAAAATGCAGCTTACCACAATGCTTGCAAGGATTTTTAGCTCCATCAATGGGTTTGTTATCCCATTTTCTTCCTTTATCTTTCCAATTCTTATGATCTTTTGCACTTTGCTTTCCTGTAGTTTTATCAGTTTTAGAATTCACACTGAGACTAGCAAATGCTTTCTCAGTTTTAGGCTCAGTGTGTCTCTCCAATCTCTTTGCAAAACCTTTTAATGAGGCAACAACCTCTTGAACTTCAATTGTATCTATATCCCTTGAGTGCTCAATCACAGAACATATCGGATCATACATTGCAGGCAAACTAATCAACAGTTTCTGCACTACTCGTCCCTTAGATAAGTCCTCACCATAACTTCTCATTTGGTTTATAAGATCAAATAGTTTTGCAAGGTAAGCAGACAAAGATTCATCATCTCTCATCCTAGTATATTCAAAATCTCTTCGTAAACTTTGTAATTTTACACCTCTCACCTGTTTATCTCCATGAAATTCTCGCATCAAGAGATTCCAGGCTCCCTTCGAGGTTTCTTCATGAGCAATCCTAGGAAAAATTTCCTCAGAAACTGCTCCTTGGATCAGACCCAGAGCCTTAGCATCTTTCATAAGTGCCTCTGTGAAAGATATCTTCACAGCATCACTTGAGTCCTCCTTGTCTTTCTTCTTCTCATCAGATCCAGCGGATCCCTTCGAATCTGAGATCTCTACCCCTTTCTCAACGAATTCCCAAAGCCCATGAGACTTGAAGATGGTTTTCATCCGTATGCTCCAGAACTCATAGTTCTCAC